TAAACCACCTAGAATGGACACAATGCTCAAGTTTTGAAGTTGTGACACACTTAAATGTTTCAGTAAACTCTGTAAAATAATGCTTTGAAGTCAGACTTAGTAGTGCCAGTGGTTTTGTCCTTTGACTCCACGTTTTAAGCAGTACCTGAGATACCTGCCTTCACTTGTGGGAGGACAGAAATATTCCATTCATGGCTTTTAAACTCTCCAACATTTCTGATTTTTAGTTTACAATATAGGTCTTGTTGTTTTATTGTTCAAAGTGTTCTAAGACTGCCTGACTTGCCTGCCTGAAAACATACTCAGATGAGGTGTACAAAAGGACAGGACAGGATCGTATTTCTGATTTCTCCAGAGCAGCCAGCGAGAAAACAGAGAATAGCAGCTTTGCTGAAATTATGCCCAAGAGTGGACACAGATCAGGTTTTTAATAAATTACTTTTGGGGGCTTACTATCAAAATTCTGAGGCATTCTGGAAGACTGTTTACCTGTAATGTTATTTTAATGATTCTTAGCTTATTCAATTATAAAATAATGGTGCGAGCCCCAAAAGCTGTTCTTTTTTTCAGTTTACAAGGTTTTGAAAATGAAAAAAAAGAGCTTTTAAATGCTAAAATCCTTATGTTTGCTGAACTTGGCATTACACTTTAATGGTATTAGTAATCTGACCAAGTTGTCTCTGGTTTTACATGAAAATGTTATACTGTTATCTTCTTCCTGAAATGTAAAGATTTCAAAATGCTCGGCAAATTTTATGCTATTGCTACTACATGGTGAAATACAGCTGATGAAATAATAAATAAAAAGAAAAACTGCACTGTTACATGTATTTCCAAGGATATAAGTACTGGCATGTTTCAGTGCTTGTTTAGTTTTTATAATATGCTGAAAATTGCTGAAGTCTTCCAATTTTATTAAAAAAAATAATAGAATTGTCCTTGTTAAATCTTGAAGAAAGAACAATTTTTTAAGAAATCATTCTTCTTATGTAAGTAGCTGCAAACAGCAAAGGCCACCAGCCTTCAGGTGGCACACTGGAATTAACTGGTACTGGCTGGGGCACGTGTGACTGCAGGAAGGGGAACGAGGAGGCTGGGCAGGAGGCAGCTGAGCAGCCAACAGGGGAATCAGGGCAGGGGCCCCTTGAGTTCCCAACTCAGTGACGTGTAGCTGGAGCAAGGAAGGAGGAAGAGGCATTTTGTGTGCTCCCTTTTCTTTGCAAATGTATATGATTACACTAAGAACATACCTTACTTCTAGCAACGAACTGTCTCTCAACAGTTCAGTTGCAGAACAGTTCTGCAGGGTCTGAAAATTTGACTCACATTTCAGGCAATGGTGCAAAAAAAAAAAAAAAAGTGGTTTTGCCCTCTTGCCTTACACAGTTCAATGTAAAAAACAACAGGTTTGTATCAAAGCCATGCTTGGAAGTGCAGTTCTTAAGCAGCAAGAGCTCTGCTGCAACAGATTATGTTTGTATTTAACACTTGTAATTCTGAGAACAGTCTTCTAGTGGAAGACAGTCAGCATAATTTGTTGACCCAGAAACACAGAAGTATTTTAATCTCTGATGAAAAATTAATGGTGCCAATGAGTAGTAAGCACACACCACACTCTTCCTTCACCTGTCATGTGTCTTGTGTTATTTCAATCTCTCTCAGCTCCCTTTAACAGTTAGACAAGGAAAGCAAAATAAATCAAATGCTCTGTGACAGATCAAAGACAAGATAAGTTCCTTATCTATTAGGCCTCATGAGAAAGAGCCATTACAAGTTTCTGTAAGCTTGTGGATTCTGTTATATATAAAGGGTTAACAAGTTCTCACCTGCCACATAGGTTGGAAGGGATTCAGTTGGCCATGGAAACTGGCAGCCATTCTCATAGTGCATTACAGAATCCTGTTCATGAGCTCAGTTTTTAAAACTTACCCTAAATCAGTCTCTCTTGCTCTGTTAATTCTCTGGATAGCTATTCTGTAATTTTGCTCCTTGGGTCTTTAGCACCTTTTTACTTTCATACTAAGTTTATTTCTGGTCAGTTTGAGCACCTTTGGTTTTATGCAAGTGTTGTCCTTTAGCTTGCTAACTTTTCCTTCTTGAAGTATTTTTAAACAGCAGCATGTACCCTCCTTTCAGCTCTTGTTTTGTCAGAATAGACAAACCCTGCTCTCTTAATCTTCCCTTTGGCAGCCCTTCTTTGCATCTGTTTTAGTCTGAATATCTCCAATAGCAGTGACTAAAACTATAATTATATTCAACTGCTGTTGCCTGCGCCTCATGCAATAGAATCAGTATCTTCATATCACTGCTGGAATGGACACTGACAGGAAATACCCTAAAATCAGTGATCACGCTTCAACATTTAAGTTTCGTTTGCTGTCCTTTGGTAATGAAACCAAAGGGAGATTTTTTTTATGTCTATATCTTTTAATTTCCTGGTCTGGACTCCTTCCTGCTTTTCAGAATCAGAACAAGGACATTATGTCAATTCTGCAAAGATTCAGTATTATCACTTTCTAAACTAAAGCAGGAACTCAATTTCCAAGGTGCAAACTTGGCACAATTTCAACTGGCAACACTCATCTGGGCAGATGAATCTTGTCTTCTCTGAATTCATGAGTAACCTGGAATGCTTATCTACTATCTGCTTGTGATTTCTTATTCTAGATTCCAAATTCACATTGGTATCTCCTTTTTCAGGTTTGTTCACATTTTCCTGGCCAAGGAGTTTACTGATGCACAGTTATTTTTGTAGCTGTGACTGCTGACTCAATTTCAGTTTGTTAACTGGATAACTGCACAGCATTCCCAAGGGTACTTCTTCAAAGCAGAATTCCTTTAATGTCATGTTCTGCATTAGAGTATGCCTTCTTCCATTGTTAATTTTACATTTTTATTCTTCAGTGGCACTTTTTTTCACTCTAGCCTGTTTTCCTTTCAATTCCATGCTGCACTGAAATCCTATTGTTCACAGTATTCATGATCCCTCCTAGATTAACCTGTGAAGAGAATTATCATGTTCTCCAATCCATCCAAATGATTAGTTAAAACATGCTACTATTCAACCCAGCACTAATCCCTCTCCTCCCTATCAATAAACCTCCTTAGTTTGAAATTATTTTTCCTTATTTAGCCAGTCCTGACTCCTCTATGGCTCCCCTTATTCCATTTTCTTCTATTAAAGTATCATGTTTAGCATCACTAAACATTCCACATCCTCAATAAACTTTCTGAAAACAGTTTTAGTTTATGTGCACTGCTGTAGGAACACATCCAAAATAGTTAAGATTGCTTGCAAAATGCTAATATTTTTCTGAAGTAACTCAAATCTAACTACACCCAGAGTGTTAAAACTGTTGCACCTGTACACTTTAAAGTAGTTTAGAGGGGGCAGCAAAATCCTACTCGGTGCCTGATAGTGCAGCACTGGCATCACTAAGGATTAAAGAGTTCAGTTTGAAAGAATTCAATACATTTTAAAAGCCCCACCTAAGAAAAAATATGGTTGCAGCAATAAAGGAGGAAAAAGGGTGAATGAAGATCACAGCTTCTGGCACAAACAGGGTAATCACAAATCCAGGTCTTGCCCTAACTGAAATAAACTTCTCCCTCCCTCTCAAGACAGCAATGTAAAAAATTAGCTATTCATTAAGGGGCCAGTTAGCTCAGTCAGTTGAGGGCAGCACTAACAACACCAAGGTCGCAGGTTTGATTCCCGTTCGGTCCCCATGTGTTGCCTGATCTAGTTGAGAGGTGGCGTCCCTGGCGGCAGGGAGGCTGGATTGAAATGATCTCTAAGGTCCCTTCCAGCTTAGGCCATTCTGTGATTCTATGATTTGAAATATTTTCATAGAATAAACTGAATTTAAATGCAGCCTTTTCTTCTTGCTCTTTACATGTAGTCTTGACCTCATCCCATCAGTTTAAAACACATATTTTTACCCTCTTCCTTTCATACAAACCAAAGATTAAAATCAAGCTTTACAGAGATCTGACATGAAGCCCATGCACTTCTCATGTCCTTGTTTGTGGGCTGAAGCTACACACACTGCGATTTTGCAGAGAGAAAGGCATCATCTCTAAGTACCATTTCACAAGCAGTCTTTTGAAGGCAAAGCTATACTTGTCTTCACTCCTGTGAGCTGATTAAATGCCTTTATGTAAATCCACTGGGAAAGGCCATGTTGAGTAACACTGAGACAATGCAGATGTCTAGCAAGTATATCATAACTTATTATATACAGAATCTCAAAAATAGCTGCACTCACCAGCCTGGAAAACATTTATTTACTAACATTTCCATTCATTTTAGCTGCTTAAGTGAAGTTTTGGGGATTGGAATTATTTTCAAATAATGAATACACCAATCTGAAGTTATTCCAATAAAAACAGTAACTGGCAAGTACTAAAAATACCAGTTAATTTTGATAATTTAATATGCCATTTATAGTCATCTAAACATCTTACTCAATACTGTTATATACAAAACCCACTGAAAATAAAAAAAAATTAAATGTTATCTTTCAAATGTAAAAGTGCAATTAACACAGGCAAAGTTTTTGTAAGAACAATACATTCCTGTTAAATTCACTGGCTACATAAGAGCCTAACATGTATATTGCCTACGCTAAAGTGAATAATGATTTTAGTTTCTGTTAATTCTGAATAAGCCTTGTACTTGATAGTTTTACTGACACCATAATTATGGCACGTACATCCAAAAATGCGTAGCACAATTGTTTTCCTGATTTTTAGTTTTATCAACTTCCAGAAACTTAAGTAGAGCAACAGTAAGATCTGTAAAGTTCAAAAAATAATTAACACCAGAAAAACTTATATCAAGTAAGTGTGCACAAAACAGGCATCCTGAACTGTTTTCTCCAGAATTCCCATAGCTTTCCGAAGATGTTGTTTACCCCCAGTAAACATTCTTCCTTTACAGTACTGAATGGATTTTCCAGAACAAGATTTACATTTACGATCATTCATGCATTACATATTCACAACTTGGAAAGAAACGGAAGGCCTTCGTACATGTCAGCCTTTAATCTTATCCAGTCCTGAAGTCTCTGCAAAGTTGTTTTTTCTTCTGTTAATACTTCTGCAGCTTTTCTCAGTTTTTCCTCATTTCGTTCTAAGTAACGGATTCCATCTGTCTGCAGCTGATTGAGTTTCTCTTTACGACTTTCATCCAGAGCTATGTCTTCATTCATAAGAGGGTTAAACCTGAAATAAGTGTCTGGAGGTAACAGTGCATCCAGCATGGTGTGAACTTCTGCATTGGAAACAAGCAAAAGAAACAGTTATATTTACAGGAGACAAACTGTCCTACAGCCTCTGAACAAGTGCTCTAGAATGAGACGGTAAATGTAAACATGGGCTGCTCTGCTGAGTAAACGTTTTGCTGCCATTGCCTCATCCAAACCCCTTTCTCATTACAAGATCAGCTATAGGGTGGTTTGCACTGTTTACTCTGGAAAAGCCTCATCTTTTATTCTAGGGCAACTTCCCTAGTATGACGATTAAGAAGGCTTTGCAGCTATCCAGATTTTAAATTACATGTACATTACATTCCTTTAGAGCTGAGAGTGCATTCTGAAGAGCATTCTTGCATACTCTCATTCAGGATATCCATGATTCATTAAACTTGGTAGTGACAGAAGTAGGTATTATGAAAATTACAGTTATATATTCTTCTCTAGTCTCACAGACTGCAGTAAAAATATGCAGGTTTAAAAGCTTTCTTTTTTTTGCAATTAATTCATTTTGTGTAAATTACTACATATTTGGGGTTTGAATTTAACTTTCATTTATCTGTACTTATAATTTAAACATAATTTAAAATGTACAAGTTAAATTATAACATTTCTGTTAACTAGGACAATAATGAACTGGCTGCATAATATATTTGTATGTTCCTATCTTCCTTTTTTCCTCGCTTTTAGAACCTATTTTCTCTCTTCTTTTAGATCTCTCTTCTCTTCATTCGCTCCCTTAAAATTCCGTTTCCGTAACATCCTTCATATTTCATTCTCTTTTATTTCCATCTTCTTTGCATTCTTATCACACTCCTCCAATCTTTTAAACATCTACTATTATATAAAAATTTTAAAGTCAAAGAAGTATCATGGGAAAGACTACAGCATAAGATTCTTATTAACCTGAAATCTTCTCCGCTTGGTCCCTCCTCCTGAAAATTACTCAGCTCAGCTGTGTCATTGTTCTTGTCTCACCACATCCACTCTTTCTTGCCCTAGTTAATAACCTCCTATTTTTCCTTCATAATGTATTTTCCCAAATCTACTCTCCCCTCTTTCTGTTTCCTCTCCCTTTGGTCTCCAAAATAATCTTTCCTTTCCCCTCCTTTTCCCTGTCAAATCTCTTGCCTGATTTTTCAGGCGCAGCAAAACTTTTTCTTCCTTTGATAGAAAGTGGACAGCACGTCTCCCCTCCCCACAATTCCCACTGCCTTTTCACGATTATGCAAAACACGAAGATGGCCTGAAATTGAGCTTTTCCTTACTAATGACAGTCAGTTGACAGAGATCGTGCAGCAAGGGATCTAGACCATATTTCCTGGTCCCTAGCTTTTTACTGTATCAGTTTCCTTCAATGCAGGGCAGGGGGGGCACCTCCATAGCACTATTTCCTGGTTGTAAAAGCTAGTGGCAGAGTTCTAGTCTATTTCCATCCTAGGAACAGCATTTATTTTTGAAAAACTAAATGACTCCTCCTGACAGCCTTGGAATTTATGACCATTGGCAGGCACAGTCTAGTCCTTGGAAAAGCACATGTTTAGAAGCACATATAGATGAGAACAGAAGTAATAGTTTTTCTGAAGCTGTTGAAAACTACCGATGTCTGCATTAACTCTTCGGCATTTCTGTTTATGGGAGAAATAACCTAAATATGATTTGTCTATTGAAATTAATTTCTGAGTATGCCTTTTATCCTGAAGCACAAGTAAAACTATATTGCTTTGTATAAATCCTGTTGGATTATCACTGTCATTTGGTAAATTTCAAGGTATCTTTCATCTTTAGTATATCTATGTCATCAACTTCATGTTAACAGTTGAGAACTCAAAGAGCTTAGCAAAAACATAGTTAAGATGAAAATTCACGGAGATAAGGCTATGAACGGCATTCATATTATCATCTCCAGACAACCTGTGATATTGGCACTAAATAGTAAATTAGAGACATGTTTCAAGTAGCTTTAGTAGGGTGGGTAGAGAGAAGAAGGGAAAAGAGAGATTGCTCTCTGAATTGGAACTGTAATTCTAAGAAACGTAAAAATCCTGAACCTAGCCACAATACAAATGTATCTTAAGACACCAACCTTCTGTATCAGTTGCACTGCTGATAACATTTGTGAGTTTGGCTTTCAAACTGGTGTACGTGAGATTGGTCTTTCCCTCGCTTTCATATCGACCAGTGCCCAGTGATATTAAACACTGCAACGGAACACTCGGCCAAAGACACTTGCACTCATGAACTGCCAGTGCAGATGGATTATTTAGAAGCAGACCTCCATCCTGTAAATTAAGAATAAATACAAATGTTAGTACTATACATAACATGGTCATAGAAGAAACCACAACTAAAAACAGAACTAGAAAGGCACGGATACACAAAAACCAATTAAATCAAACAAGCATTAATTTCTATCTTCTGTGCGAGTTTTCGGTTTGTGCTAGGCAGCAGATGAGTAGCTTGGCTTCCTGGGCTTATGGACACCGTCAGAGCAGCATCCAGGACTGTGATTAGTTCTGCAGTTGTGAGTATTGTACAGAAGAGGTAGGCTGAAACTGCAGCCTTCTGGAATAGCTGAAGAAATTATGACTTCATCTTCTGAAGACGTTTCAGGTAAGACAGATACATATATTGACAATTTCTTAATGAAAAAGTCTGCATCTCAAAATGTTTACTACTGGTATTACAAGGATATAGTCTGTAATAAAGAGCTAAACTTGGGCGAGGCACTAGACCAGCATCAGGTCCAGCAAAGCACCATTTTTTGCTGGCTTCTCCATCAACTGTGCCAGAAAGATGTCATCAATGCACCCGAGAAAACTTCTAGGTTGCTTGAGCTCTTCTGTCCTGTCCTTTCATCAGGCATCAGGAAGAATCACACAGAATCAGAGAATGTTCGGGGTTGGAAGGGACCTCAAAAGATCATCTAGTCCAGCCCCCCTGCCAGAGCAGGATCACCTACAGTAGGTCACACAGGAACGTGTCCAGGTGGGTTTTGAATGTCTCTAGAGAAGGAGACTCCACAACCTCCCTGGGCAGCCTGTGCCAGTGCTCTGTCACCCTCACAGAGAAAAAGTTTTTTCTAATGTTTTTGTGGAACCTCCTATGCTCCAAACCCTGCTGAGGACCAGGCCCTAGGAACATGAGGATTCTTTAAGTTGTCCAAAGATCAGAATTCAGCCCAAGACTAATAGGAAGAAAGGCTACTTCCACAAGTCTGGAAGTGAGGAGAGACATCTTTTGCAAGCAACATGTCAAAAGCATACGTGATGAGGCTGGGAGAAAATACTTTAGGACTAATAAGAATCAGTATGACTGACAATATGTCCAAGAAGCATTCAGACAAGGAGATTTTGATCCAGATCGCAAAAAGTATGTTCAGCACTTTTTGGAAGTTAAATCATCTTCACTCCAATTAGGAAAATGATTACTTTGAACTTTGAATCCAACAGAACTTTTTATACTGGGAATGCCTTAAAAAAGGCAGTTATAGAGGCAAAACTTAAGCTGAAAACATTATTAATAGCAGAGACAAAGACCTTTATAGCCATATAAAATCTATACAAAGAAAACATGTAAAATGTAAAAGAAACAGAGTATTGACTAAACAATCATTATGCAAAAGCTCCACGTATCCTAAAGCTCCCTGAACTCTCTGTACCCCATACATGACCATCACATTACAAGATCAATTAAAAAAAAAGAAAAAGCAACTCTACTCAGGAATAGCTTAGAATAAAAAATTATTTTGGAGTTGATAAACATATTACAGAAACTCCTTTTAACTACAGCTGGACTAGATAAATAAGTAAAACCAGGATTACTGAGCTGAGGTTTTGAGGTTGATTTGTTGTGGGGTTTTTTGTGGTTTGTTTTTGTTTTTGTTTTTTTTTTTCCTTCCTCTTTTTAATTAAGCTTTCATTTCAGCCTACAGAAAGCTCTTTGAACTCCTTCTGGATACTGTCCACTTTGCTCAAAACACTGCTAACATGAATGGTCTCTTCAGTTCCTATTATCCTTTGCTTATGCTTAAATTAGCTTCTACACAGAAAACTAAATACAAGGATGTTTTTGTCTTTGATATAATCCCCCATTAATCTTAATCTAAAAATCTTAACAGTTATCTTTGTGGTGCCTACTTCTTTCTTTAAATCCTAGATTAAAAAAAAAGCTTACCAAATAATTTCCACTGATCTTGTCGATAGAATTTAACTAAACATAATTGCTTCACCATGGGAAAATTAGTGTTACCAAAGTAATACCAAAATATTCTGATATATTTGTAACACTGACAAACAAAATATCAAAGAAAGCTAAAGTGCACACATCTACACATACCAAATGTGGATTATGATGATAACTAACTGTTTTGTGCAACGACTTTCAGATTTAAACATTCTCCAATTTAGGTTTATTGAAATGGGAGTAATTACCCACTCCTAATGAATTTTAGTGTAGACACCTTTAACATAACTTCTAGCATTTATGTAGATACTTCTAACTTTTAAACAGTGAGATGCAAGACTCAGTAAAGAAGGCAACTGATTTTTTCTTCCCCTATGAAGAGATCATGGTTGATAATGACCACAACCCGACCAATACTGTTTTTCAAGAATATCTCACTCTGTTCAACAGAGATGTTCATCACATTGCTCTTGTGCTTACAGTGATCAACTACTGAAAGAATAAATAATATTTTTTGTTAAATTGGCCTATTAAGGACTCGATGAAGAAAAAACTGCAATAATTTACCTAATTCTGTAGCTTCAGAAACCTTAGGGCTAATTACATCAAAGGCTGAAATTCTTGTGAAAAAAAATATTTCACAAGTTTTAAAAGTAGTTGCAATGATTTCACACGTACATGAATTCTAAGAAAACTGTAAACAACAAAGAATTCTCCAGTTCCAAGATTAAAAAATAGCAACTAACCTTACTTATTCTAAATAATTTCTCTATCTTCATAAAATTGGACAAAACATCCTTCCCAAGTTACATACTAAACTAGCAACAGAGAAATTATCTACATTTTTTAAAAGTGATTTTTAGAAATCATGACATATCATTCTTCATGCTTGTTCTTGATCACTTGGAATTGTATTCCAGTGTCTCAACTCTTTAGTTTTGTACATAAAATACACTAAGATCATAAGAATCTTCACTGATCCTCCCTCTGAATTTCTATGTATTTAATTTTGCTATTTGTTTAGAAGAACTACTAAATTTGGTATCTTTTTTTTTTTTACCGTCTAATTCTGTTGAAGTTATTCTGTGGATATATTATACAAAATAACCTAAATTATTTATAATTTACCAATTAAAATATTTTATTGTAAGCACTCAGCTTTTAAAATATGTTTATAAAAGTACATTAACCAAAATGCAACATAAACAAAAGACTGTTGGTAGTGTGGAATGTCTTGGTGACTAACCTAAGAGCTTCCTCTTTCATATTAATTTCTATTTATCTATCTGATCTATGGATATAGAGATGCCTCTTGGCCAAAATCCAAGTTCTTGTTTGTCTCTATTTTCAAAAGGAGGAACTCATTCATCTTATAAGTCCATTCAATTTCAAATGCTCTGTTTCCTTGGTACAATCTCTTGTCTTTGATCCATCTATCTCTCAATCTTAAATTTAAATTTTTCTGTTAGTATGATGGTAGCATGTCTCTGCAGGAGGGAAGAATGACAAACTAAAAATAGTAATCCAGAAGGACAGCATACTAGCATAGCACCCTTCATATAAACAAAACAAGGCAAACAAAAAAGGACTTTTATACCACATAAAATGATGTAGGAATGTTGTTGATGTGAAATAATATTTAAATTATACTATTAGGTTCAGATGTAATTTGAATTCTACAAAGCAATGCTGATTTTATGCACAGGCCTAAATCTTTTCAGTTCCTAATAAATTTATCAGTTCCTTTTCGATAGACTAGAATGTCTTCAAATGTCCCTCCTTTCATCTCTATTAGTAGATATACTGCTAGCATATGGTACTGTCTGTGTGAACAAAGAAAAAGTGAGACAGTGTGAGCAGCATAGTACATGAACTACTAGATTGTGAACATACACTTGGGTTAAAAGCAAAACCAGTAGGTCAAGTCAAGTGATTATCCCCTTTTATTCAGTATTCATGAGGTCAAACTGAGAATACTGTGTAGAGCTTCAGACACCCAGTTACAAGGCACTGAAAAACAGGCATACGTACAGTAAAAAACTACTTAGATGGTTTGGGGGCTGAATCACATAACCTATGAGAAGAGATGCAGGGAAATGAGTTTGCTTAACCTGGAAAAAGAAAGCCAAGGAAGAGTTTAATGACAGTTATCCACCACAGGGGGAGACAACACAGCCAGACTCTTTCAAAAAGTGCAGAGTAAGAGCAAGAGAAGCTGTGGAATCTCCATCCTTGGATATTTTCAAAACTCAGCTTGGCAAGGCCATGAGCAGCGTGACCCAGCTTTAAGGTTTATCCTGATTTGAACAGGAGGCTGGGCCAGACGACCCCCTGAGGTCTTGTCCCCCTCCAATTCTCCTAAGGTTCTACTCAAAGAAATACTATATGAATCATAGATTCATGTTTTTTTAGCTGCAAAATGTTTAGCTTCAAAATGAAATTGCATTTTAAAAGCCATTCTTCTTAGAAACTGAACTCTGTCAGTCCAGTCTAAGTCTTGCAAACATTTATTTTTCATTTGCAATTCATACCTTGGAATCTGTAACTGAAAGGGTAACTTACAAGAACTCTTCAAATGACTAAACGCTGACCAACATCCACAAAAATGTGCAGTTGTCCTGAGTTCTGATTCAGGATGCAGTGTTGGGCAAAGAGCCAGAGCAGACCCCTCATTCTCTCTGTTCTTCCATTCTCAGATTGTCTGGCCTTCCTGACATTTCACCATCTTTTCTCATTTAGCTGGTTCCTAATCCAATTACAAACTCTTTTTCACTTCCCAGACACACATGAGTCACCCCTTCCCTTCTGACATTCTTCTGGGCTGCTGAGGTCAGTGCACTGACCAGTTCTAGGAATAAAGAAAGGCCCAGTCAAACCTTATGAAACAGAGGGGGGCAAATGCTACCATTGGATGGAAGATACATCAGGAAGTCTCAAGGAAAGTGCTCCAGATCACTTGGGAACCTGGTAGCACAGGACTTTCTGAAAATCTTGTCTCATATAAATAACGATGGTGAACACCTATAAAGTCACTATTCATGCATTTAAATTAATACTTTGGAAACAGTTATTTAAAATTAAGATATTAAAATTAAAA